CGCGAGACTCCATCTCCAAAAAAAAAAAAAAAATAAAATTCATTAAGCCTTTCATTATACTTGCTAAATTTATCCCTTGAATTCTACTTATCGGTGAGTTGATAATTATTTCATGATAATTCAAATGTAATGATAAAGTAGAAATAAAGTCGGACAATACATGTAATCGTGACTCAAATCATCCCAAAACAATTTCTCTGCCAGGAAGGCAACTTTGGACTGGAGTCGGTAACGAGGCAGAGGTTGCAGGCAGTTTGAGGGCTGCAGAAGACGAGAAGATGGAAAAGCGGGAAAGTTGGAACTTCCTACGAGACTTGTTGAATGGCTTTGACAAATGCTGATAATGATCTTGGACAATGAAATCCAGGGTGAGTGGTCTCACGGTGGAGATGAGGACTGGAGTAAAGGTAATGCTTGCCATCGTTTTTATCAAAGAGGCTGACAGATTTTCGCCTTGCCCTAAGAGATTTGGAACTTTGAACGTTGAGGGAATGATTTAGGGTATCTGGTGGAAAAATCTTTTAAGCAAGCAAGCATTCAAGAGGTGACTTTGGGTGCTGTTAAAGCATTCAGGTTTGAAAAGGGAAACAGCAGAAAAGTTTCTCCGGCATTTGTAGCCTGAGGATGTGATGTAGAAAAAGAAAACCCCCAATTTTCCTGAGCGGAAATTCCAGCCGGCTTGCAGAAATTTGCAATTAATTAATGGAACAACCAAAATTTAAACTGCAAGACCACCAAGCGGAAAAATGTCTCTCCGGGGGCCATGTCAAAGGAGATTTCTCAACGCCCCTCTTAACCACAAGGCCTGGAGACCTTAGGAGGAAAAATAGGTTTTCATCGGGCCAGTCCTAGGGGTTCATTGTTGTGTGGCAGCCAAGAGTCTTGGGGCCCCTGCATTCCAGCTGCTCTAGTGCTGCGGCTAAAGGGACCAAGGTAAACAGCCTCAGCCATGGCTTCAGAGGGTGCAGAGCCACAAGCCTTGGGCACGCTCAATACCAGATGTTGAAGCTGGCTGGGGTGCACACCAAGTCACAGAATTGAGGTTGGGACTCTGTAGATTTCACAGTATGTACTGGACAGCTTGGATGTTCAGGCAAGAGTTTGCTGGCAGGGGGTGCGGGGCCCTCAATTGAAGAGCTCCTGCTGGGCAGTGCGAAGGGAAATGTGGGGTTGAAAGACCCCAACAGAGTCCACGACTGGGAACTGCCTAGTGGAACTGTATGAGAAAGAAGGGCCACTGTCCTCGCAGCCCAGAATGTGTAGATCCACCGACACCCTTGCACTGTTCACCTGGAAAAGGCAGACACTCAAGTTCAGCCTGTTGGAAAGCACGCAGGAGCGGGAGGCCGTACCCCTGCAACCAGGTGTGGTGGAACATTCCTGTAATCCCAGCTACTTGGGAGGCTGAGGCAGGAGAACCTCTTGAGTCCAGGAGGCAGAGGATACAGTGAGCCAGGGTCACACCACTGCACTCCAGCCTAGGAAACTCCATCACAAAAATAAAAATTTTGAGATGGAATAAGACTCCATCTCAAAAATAAAAAAGGTATTGAATTTTTTGAAATGCTTTTTCTGCATCTATTGAGATAATCATATGGTTTTATCCTTCATTTTGTTACTATGATGAATCACATTTATTGATTTGCATATATTGAACCATCCTTGCATTCCAGAGATAAATCCTACTTGATCATAGTGAATGATCTTTTTAATGTGCTGTTGAATTTGGTTTGCCAGAATTTTAAGGACTTTTGTATCTATGTTCATCAGGGATTTTTATATTTGTATCTGTTCAACTGTAATTTCCTTTTCTTGTAATACCTTTGTCTGGCTTTAGTAATATAGTAATACTGGCCTTATAAAATGAGTTTGGAAGTGTTTTTAATGTTATTATGGGGGTTAGTGGAGTCCTTTGCAAACATTTTCAGGTTAAATAACCTCCTTTAGCAATTCCAAGCCTAGTGCAGGTTAGTAGTGATCAAATCCCTTAGTCTTTGTGTTGTCTGGGAAAGTTATTCTGTCTTACTTCTGAAGGAAAATATTCTTGGATAGCAGGGTCTTTTTCCCTTTAGCACTTTGAATGTTATCATTCTACCCTTTCGTCCTGGCTGAGGGTTTCTGCCAAGAAATCCACTCGACGCTGTACTGGGACTCTCTCTTGACTGTGATGTGTTTTAGTCTTATTGCTTTCAGTATTCTTTCTCTCGTTTTAATTTTGATAATTTGATTATGATGTATTTTGGTGAATCTGT